TGCTATGGGGCAGCTAGATGGCACAATGGAATAGAGCACCGGCCCTGAGGTCAGGAAGACCTGAGTTCAAAGCCAGCCTCAGACACTTGACACTTAATAGCTGTGTGACCCTGGGCAAATCACTTAACCACACTGCCTAGCCCCACCCCCCAAAAAAAGCAATAGTGCTAGAAAATGTTTTTTAACCAGAGATTCTGTGGATGCCCCATCCCTACCCCAACTGGCTCATTTTGTATAAAAAAGAATTAGGTAGGAAAAAAATAGCTTAAAAAAATCTACCTAAGAGATATGGAACTGCTTTCACTCTAATACCTCAATAATTCCCCATCCCACCCCCAAATTTCCCCAAGTTTGTAGGAGGAAAACAGTACAGTGGTCAATACAATTAAAATGCATCTCCTGTGCCAAGATGTTGGCAGTGGAAAAACTTTTGCACTAGGCCAGAAATAAAAAAATTCATCTGGAGGGAAAAAAGGTCAAGAATCTCAAGGGAAATAATGAAAAAAAAAAAAGGAAAGGAATGGGAGCCCAGCATTACAAACTGTCCAACTACTGAACACAGCAGTTGTCAACAAACTATTTAGTACTAGTTGTGTTAATTAGTTGGACAAATTAGGCTCATACGATCCAGAAGCAATCTATCTTAGTAGTCTAGGCTATGATAAACCCTAGGACTCTAACCACAGGGATAAGGCTCATTATTTGACTAAAAACAAGTGAAAAAAATCTGAGGTAGTGTGGCAGAAATTATGTCTAGATCAACATCTCGTACCATATAAATACTACAAAAAATACAAGACAGATTTATGATCAAGATGTAAAAGATCATTATCAAAAACAAATTAAAGGGAAGATTTTTGATAACATGAAATTGAAAAGCTTTTGCTCACACACAAAATAATACATATAGGATAAGGAGCTGATGATTAGAAAAAAATCTTCGTATGAAATTTCTCGGGTAACGGCTTGTTACACAAGCTATATAGACACCTAATAAAAACATCTAAGACCAAAAGCCATTCCCCAGTAGATAAGTGGTCAAAGGATGTAAATGAACAGTTCTCAAAAGAAGAATTACAAATTATTAATAACCTGATGAAAGAATGTTCCAAATGACTAATAATATAAGAAACATACATCAAAACAACCCTGAGGTTTCACTTCAAGTAACAAATGCTTTATTGATGGAGCTGTGAATGAGTATAACCATTTTGGAAAGCAATTTGAAATTATGCAAATAAAGTAGCTAAAATGTCTATACTATTTGACCTGGAGATTCCATTACTAGGCATAACTCCAAGGAAGTCATTGACAAAAAAAGGAAAGCTCTATATATACCAAAATATTTATAGCAGCAAAGAATTGAAAACAAAGTTTAGTTGATATCCATCAACTGGGGGAATAGCTAAACAAATTGTGAGATACAAATGTAATGGAATACTACTATGTTCTGAAAGAAAAGATAAACAAGACTAATACGAGAAGCTGAGGTGCAAAAGGAAGGAAATAAACCAAGGAATCCCATATGGTCTTTTCCGTTTAAGCTTGGGCCTACTCTCACTCCCTTATGCCTAATTAATGCTGCCATTTAGTATTACAGATCACACTTGATCCTAACAACCCTATAAGATAGGTACTACAGGTATTATAATTCCCATTTTACAGAGGAGGTAACAAATGCAGCTCTAGCTCTTTGATCCTAAATGATTTACTTGTGGGCACATAGCCAGAAAGTATCAAAAGTGGGACATGAATCTCAATTTCTACAGCATTTATTCCACCTCACTTCAATGCTTCAAAGGGAAACCAGGTCCAGGAAGAAGTAAAGGAATGCCCCTACTACTATTCTTTGACCTGAAGCACACTAGTATCATAAAGGAGCCAATGTAGGCCTTAGGTCACATGAACTCCTACATTAAATTCAAGTGTTGGAATCCAGTTCAGTAGAGGATGACCATAAGATTATAGATTTGGAATTGGCAGGGCCCTTCCTGTTTATTTAACTCAACCCCCTCAGTGCATAGATAAGAAAATTGATTCCAAGAGAGGCTAAGTGACTGGCCTAAGATCATACAAGTTTAAGAAGTGTCAGGTCTCAAACTCAGGTTCTCCAATTCAAAATCCAGTGTTCTTTCCACTGTACCACAATATCACTGGGGAATATTTGGCTCCTTTTGGAATCTCTGATCTCTCTAGTTTGATAATAAATTCATATCTGCATTAGAAGCTTCAAAAAAGGTATTACCATCTTTTGTTTTTATATCACATTCCTTTTTCAATACACAATCCCTCCCCCTCCTTATACAAAAGATTAAAAAAAGGAGGGGGAAGCAGCTCAGCACAACTAAGCAACACATCAACCATGTCTGACATTATGTGCAGAGTTCCACCCCCATAATCCTCCCACACTGCAAAGAGAAGGCTGGCCCTGTTACCATCAACTTTTTCATCAATGACAGGGATGAAGATCTACATGGGATGCTTATTAAATGTCAGAAAATAGGATGAAGCTAGGAAAGACAGCTAATACACTGAATAACAGAGACAGGAAAAGATCTTAACAGGATATGAAATTTAGAAATGATAAATGCAAAAGTCCTGACTTTAAAAAAATAGTCAATAGCATTAAGTAGAAGGTGAGGGACATGGTGCTTTGATAAACAGGTCATGTGAAAATGACAAAGTCCCAGGAGATATGAACAATCTTCAAAAGAAGAAACAGAAACTACAAATAATTTAGTTAATTTCCAAATGGTCAAAATCACTATCAATCAGACAGATACAAATTAAAACAACCTTGCAGTAACTAACATTGAATTAACAAAGCTGCTATATGGTAGAAAAATGCATTCTGGGGCTATGAGAAGGTAAGCAGGTACACAAAGTTGAAATCCAAAGGCCTTTTCTCAGTCACAATCCTTGTTCATTTCTTCCACTCACCCTCCTTTCCAGGTTATTCTTTCCTCCCCCCGATTTCATCACATTTCTTTCCTGATTGCTTTCTTTAGTCTCTTTTGTAGGATCATCATATATGGCTTTATGCCTCCATCCTGGGCTCTCTTCTCTCAGTGATCTCATCATTCTCATAAGAGATTCAATTATCACTATACAGATGACTCTCAAATCCACATATATAGCCTTCATTTCTCTCCAGAACTCTACTCCTTCAACACCAACTGTATGGGCACCTCAATTTCAACATGCCCAAAAAGAAAATTCATCTCCTCCTCTAAACCTGCCCCTCTTCCTCCTCCCCTTATTTCACTATCCTTCCAATTACCAAGTTTCACAACTTTGGAGTCATCCTCAAATCTCATTTTCCCTCACCTTCTACATACAATAAGTTTCAAGATAATTATTCTATCTCTACAACATGACTTATGTCCATCCCTTTCTTGCCATATTGTATTTCTACTATTTAGTTTGGGATCTCATCACATCTCATCTGTAATACTGTAGTGCTGCAAAACCTTCCTGATTGTTCTCCCTTAATTCAGTCTCACCCTTCAATCCATTGTCCATATAGCTGCCAAAGTCGTATTCCTAAATCTTAAGACTGATCAAGTCATCCCTCTGCTCATTAACTCCAGGGATTCTCTATTAACTGTGTGCATATTGTATCTTTCCCTATCCCACTAGAATATAAGCCATTTGAAGACAAAGAGCCCTCATGACACCTTCAGTTTTATCTTTGTATCCCCGGCAGCTAGCAGAGTGTCTCACACATACTCAATGCTAGATGTAGTGTTGAATTGAGTTAATTCACTCATGGAAGAGCTGTGAAATACTTAAAATTGTTCTGCCAAAACTGGAGATTATGCATGAAAGATTACTCAACTGTTACACTGACCAGCCCACTATTAAGGAACTACTTCCAAGAAAGTTAACAGTAGGAAAAGATTATTGTACACAAATATTTATAACATTATTTGTGATTATAAAAAGCTGGGGGGAAAATGTGAACCGAAATGGCTAAAACATGCAGAATTCTTAAATGTGAGGAGTGGCTACCAGGGATGGGGAACCTGTGATCTTGAGGACATGTATGGCCTCCTAGAGGGCACAATTAACATATGAGCATAAGGGAACAGTACTATATCCAAAGGAACAATAAAGACTTCAGAGACATATAGGGAGATTTGTATGGAGCAACAGAGAGTTAACAAAGCAGAAGCAAAATAATATACACGATTACAACAATACAAACAAGATACAACATGGAAAAACGATAAAGTTTTGTTCAAATAATGGTCAGAGTTAGTACTATACTATTAAGGGATATTTCCCTTGATTTTGTTAAAAACCAAGGAAATAACCTTTCCAGGTAGTTGTTTGTTTGTGGGGGGGTTTTATGGAAGCATTTGCTATGACAAAACGAGATTCATCAATAATTTTTCAAAATTAAAAAGAGACATGGGAAATTTTAGTGAACTACAAGCGTAATGAAAATCAACAATGGAACATATCAACTAAAAATAATGAATGTGATCTTAGACTATATTCATATAAGTACAGTGTCTATAGCAAAGAACGCAGACAGAACGATAATGAGATTCAAACTGTGATGTCAAGGTCAGTTCAAGAAATTGGAAGATATTTAGCTTAGAGAAGATCTACTGGATATGGAGAACATGGTTTTTTCCTTTATATATCTTAAGGTTTATTAAACTGAAGTCAGTCTACTTTTGCCCCACAAGGTGAAACCAGAAACAATGGAGTGAAGTTACCAGTAAGTAAGAAATTTTCATTTATTTGGGCAGAAACGTACAATTTACTATAAGAGAAAAATGAAGAGAGTGGCTTTAGGAGGTAATGAATTCCCTATTACTAGAGATGGCATCTTACTTCAAGTGTTAGTGAGGGGTTTCATGCTCAGGTTAAAGATGTTCACACTTAGTCAACTAACATTCCAGGATTCCAGAAAACAATGGCTCTTTTCAGAATTGTCTACCAAAAAAAAAAGGCTTCTCGTTTTATAAATACTTACAAATACTACTTACTGTTTTCTATGGTTGGATCATAAGAGTCAACAAACTGGCCTTCAACAAACTGAATTGTCAATGAGGATTTCCCTATAAAAGAAAACAGAATTCATTATTTTTAAAAAATGCTGTGTTATATTTTACTGTTTTTCGATTAGCCTACCACTACCTTATTAATAAAAAGACGAAGATAAGTTAATCAGAAGATTCTATTATTATTTATTGAATAACTCCATGCAAACAAATAATAACATAAATAATTACACTTCTTACCTTTTGGTCCTAATGTAACAAAAAAAAAACCCTTTTAAAAATGTATTAGTTACACAACTTAGATAAAGGTGAAGAATTCTGACTGACAGGCATTTCAAGTACCCTACAAGAAATGTAAACCAGCTTTTTAGGTCTAAATAACAATCTGAGGAGCATGTCTAAAATCTTGCACATGATTATCTATTTATTTTGACTGTATAGCATTAAACATCATTGTTATGAATATAAACCAAGCCTTTTAAATCAATAAGGCCTAGTTTTTAAGATGGCTGTTAAGAGAAAAACGCTAGGATTCCTTATGTTTTGAAATCAAACAAAATACTTATTGTAAAAGCCTTAACAATTCATTAGTATCTTGTAACTATAATTTAAATTCTTGCATATTATGTCCTACTCCATATTTTCACTGGAAATTTTAGCTATAACTTGTGCCATTTCCTTCATGAGTCAGCTTATATGGGCAATACTTGAGAGCCAAATTTAACTGAACACATTTAGTTCCTGTAACAATTTCAATATTAAGTGTTAAAGATGAACAGAATCAGAGCTTTGTTCATGTTTTCAAAACACATTTATAAAAGTGAAATTTCCTCTTGTGGTTACAAGTTCTCTTTTAAAACGTTATATTTTAGAATTTAATAGATGTAAAAAAAATTCAATTTTATATAACTGCGATAGAAATGTTTTGGACAAAGTACATGAATCTGGAAATTAAAACATAATGAAACTCCATCATAAAGTGCCTCAATATCCTACAGGAATAAGCATCATTCAATCAACAAGCATTTATTAAGTGACTTCTTACTATGTGCCAGTGCGGGGTGGGGTAGGGGAACAAAAAGGAAACAATTCCTACCCTCAAGGAGTTTATATTCTATAGCATGTGTGTGTATGTATATGTATATAAAAAACACTCACAAAATGGATACAAGATAGTCTTAGGAGGAAAGGCCCTATCCTTTTGGGAAACAAGAAAATGCCTTAAGCAGAAGGTAGTACTTGAGCTAACATCTTTGAGAAAACCAGAGATCCCAATAGGTCAAAGTGAGGAAGAAGGCACAAAGTAAAGCACTTCCAGTGCTAATAAAGAACCTGGAGATTGAATATTGAATGTGAACAAGCGTGATCAGGCTGTTGTGGCAGAATGCCTGTAGGGGAGTAAACGTAATAATGTGGAAAGGTATGACAGGGCCAGGTTGTGAAGACCTTTAAATGTCAAAGATAGAAGTTTACATTTGATGTTAGAGGTATCAGAGAGCCACTGCAATTTGAGAAGGGGGGAACATAACTGGACCTGCACTGAAGAAAATCACCTTGGCAGCTGTGCGCAGGATGGATTGCAGAAATAAGACCAATGAAGATGTTAGTGCAACAGTACAAGTAAGATGTGATGAGGGACTGAACTTAGAGTGGTAGCTGTGTAAGTGAAGACAAGTGAACAGAGGAAAAAGATGCTGTGGAAAGAAAAACACCAGAATTCGACAACTTACTGGTCTATTGGGGGGGGTGTGTGTGTGTGTATATGACAGAGAGAGAGAGAGAGAGAGAGAGAGAGAGAGAAAGAGGAGTCCAGAACAGGAATCTAGGTGACCTGAAGGATGGTGGTACCACCCTTCCCCATAAATTGGCAAATTCTCTCTCTCTCTCTCTCTCTCATTATAAATCATTAAACAGGCATTTATCAAGTATCTTACCCACCAGGCACTGGGGTCACACATAGAAAGGCGAGGTAGTCCCACTCTAGGGACGGGGATAGAGAATACACATTCACAGATGATACAGAATCTATGCAAAATTAATACAGAGTAATTAGGGCACAGTCCAAATATCAATCTAGCTTGTGAAAAAAATCTTCCTGAAGGAGATGGCACTTGAGCTGAGCTTTCAAGGAAAGTAGACTTTCTAAGCATTCTTTGCTGAAATATAGATGTAGAAGATGTAATATCATGTACGGGGAACAATAAGTAAGCCAGCCTCTCAAGAATATAGCATGCAAGAGGCAAGTTAACCAATTAGTTTTTCCATTGGACCAAAACAACCTAATTATCTGGTGTAGGCCCTCAAATTATGTCAATATGGAGAAAATAGGTACAAAAACTAATGGAACTTCATTAATCATGAATAAGCTAACATATAGTTAACATATCCTCATGTAATTTAAATACTGCAAAGAGACACATTACAATATTTACAGAATAAACACAAGGCAAAACATTACAGGGGCCAGTTAGTTCCAAGTTTTTTTGAGCAATCAACCAGTATTCTGGAGGACAAAGCGACAGTCAGTGGTTTTTTTTTTTTTGAAAATAATGGATTAATGACATTATTGAAACACAATACTGGTGAGGCATTCAAGACTGCATGCTACAATGAGAAGCACCTTGAATTTGGGAGTGTGACAGCTTCAGCTGGAATAACAACTCTGCCACCATGATGTGAGATCCTGAACAAAGCTCCTCCCTCTGATTGCTCACAATCTGGGAAATCAGGGGGTTGGACCACTAACCTCTAAATCCCATTTAGTACTAAATCTATTAATCTATTCTCTAGGGAACATTAAATAAGGCTAACAAATTAATTACAAAGAAGCTTTTCCATTGCATACCAATTAGTTAGCTCAGTGAAAAGTTGTAAAAAGCCTAAAAGCTCAAGATATCCTACCTGACCAACACAGACATCAATCAGCATTTATTAAAAACACACTATGTGTCTTTCCCCAATTGATAAATGGTCGAAAGATACGAACATGCATTTTTCAGATGAAGAAATTAAAGCCATCTATAGTCATATGAAAAGATGCTCTAAATCACTATTGATTAGAGAAATGCAAATCAAAATAACTGTGAGGTACCACATCACACCTATCAGATCGGCCAACGTGACAGAAGAGGAAAATGATAAATGTTGGAGATGTGGCAAAATTGGAATACTAATGCATTGTTGGTGGAGTTGTGACATGATCCAATCATTTTGGAGAGCAATTTGGAACTATGTGCAAAGGGCTATTAAAATGTGCATACCCTTCGACCCAGCAACAGCACTTCTAGGGCTGTATCCCAAAGAGATCATACAAATGGGAAAAGGACCCACATAAACAAAAATATTTATAGCAGCTCTTTCTGTAGTGGCAAAGCATTGGAAATTGAGGGATGCCCATCAATTGGGGAATGGCTGAACAAGTTGTGGTGTATGAATGTAATGGAATACTATTGTGCTATAAGAAATGATGAGCAAGCAGGCTTCAGAAAAACCTGGAAGGACTTGTATGAACTGATGCTGAGGGAAGTGAGCAGAACCAGGAGAACGTCATATATAGTAACAGCCACACTGTAGAGGACTGATGTTGATAGACTTAGCCTTTCTCAGCAATGCAAGGATCTGAGACATCTCCAAAGGTCTCAGGATGGAAAATGCTATCCACATCCAAAGAAAGAACTATGGGGTTTGAAAATAGATTCAAGTATACCATTTGCTATTTTTTTTCCTTCTGTTTTGTTTTGTTTCTTCTTTCTGGTGGTTCTTCCTATTGGTTCTAATTCTTCCTTACAACATCGCTAATGTGAAAATTATGTTTAATAGGAATGTATACGTATAGCCCATATCAGACGGCATGCTGTCTTGGGGTGGGGGTGGGAGAAAAATTTAAAACTCAAAAGCTTATGGAAATGATTGTTAATAAATCAGAATAAATTAATAAAAAACAAAAACACCAATAACAAAAAATACACTATGTGCCACATACTAATAGTCCAGGATAGTTCACTGGTTAATACTGATAGAAGGAACCTTAAGAATAGGGAGAAGAGGGCAATTATAATTCAGAAGTACAATTACAAGAAACAGAATTTTCCTCATATACTCCTTAGAGTTTCTAAGAAATTTAGAAGAAAATGGAATAAAAATATTGCTGAAGTTGAAACAGATTCTACAAATGAGTTTTCCCACTGGATTTTTTTTTTAATTTGGGGATGAGAACACCTGCATCACATAATGTTCTCAAACCATTCTCTTTGGTGTTTCTAGAGTTCCATCTACCTAGGATTCAGTAACCACTCATTCTCCATACCTATCAAGAGCAAACTCCTGTTTTAGAAAGCTTTGAAATAATGGCAGGCAGGCAGTCAACACGCATTTATTAAATGCTTATTATATGCCAGGAACCCACTAGGGCTACAAAGCAAAAGTAAAAACATGGTCCTGGTCTTCAAAGATCTCCCGAGTGGAAGAGATAACATGCAAACATATGCAAGATAAGTGTGAAGTAATTTCAAAGGGAAGGAATGGGTGTGCATGTGGAGTAGGGGAAACCAGGAAAGGTAGTGATTCCTTGCACTTGACACTCCATGTTTCATCTCCATGCCTTTGTATAGCCATTCCCCATACTTGGAATGCTCTCTCCTTTCCAACCTTTAACTTTTAGAATCCCTAATTTCCTTTAATGCTGGTCACCTCTTCCTTCAAGAAGGCCCCCGTCACTCCCCCAGCTCCAGCTTCTGGCTAAAAATCTCATTAAAATTACCATTTAGCTATTCTGAATTTATCTTGCATGTATTAATTTATATATGCTGTCTTCACCTATTAGAATGTAATCTCCTTGAGGGGAAGGGCTGTTATTTTTCATTGTGTGCTCAATCACTCAGTACAGTGCCCAGAACGTAATAAATGCTTGCTGATTGATGGCTTTTCAGTGAAAAAGAGAAAACCAAAACAAAGCTGAATAATTTTCATTTAATTTTTTTCCACTGAGGGAAAAAAATTAAAATAACCAGTAGGCAGACTTCTGTCACTTGTAGCCACTTTGAAAGGACTAATTTAGG